AAAAAAAAAAAAAAAAAAAAAAAAAAAAGGAAAGAAAAAGACAAGAAAAAAGGAAAAAGGAAACAATAAAAGGAAGAAAGAAATACAATACAGCCTGCAAAGTCCAAAAGACAGAAACCCCAGCTTCATACAGTACTGTTTGAACTGAAACTCTACAAAGCAAGGACTGCTTTTACTATCTGGCCCTTTACAGAAATTGATGACCCCTGCAACAGAGGATATCCAAATGGCCAATAAGTATATGAACAGGTATTAAATTTTATTAGTCATTAGGGAAAAACTCCAATGTGATATCACTATATACCAACCAGTAGGGCTAAAATAAAAAGGAATGTTTAAGTGTTATAAGCATTTGGAGGAGCCAGAATTCTCAAACACTGCAAATAGGAGGGTTAATTGACACAACTAATCTGAAAATCTTTTGGTGGTGTATTTGAGAAATACATATCCGCATACCGTATAATATAGCAATTTTTCCAGTAGGTATATATCCAACAGAAATGTATACACATGTTCACCAAAATACTTATAAAAATGTTCATAGAAGTCCCTATTGGTAATAGCCAAAAACTGAATGGACTACTACTATTCAGCATAAGAACAAACTATTGCTACATGTATAAATTTCACAAATCCAGTATTGAGCAAAACTGAGACCCAAAGAACTATATGATGTATGATTCTATGTACATACAGTCAGTAATAGGTAAATTTATAGATGTTGTTAAAAATTGAAGTCATGGGTACCCCTGAAAAAGGGGCACAAAGTGGGGCTTCCAGAATGCAAGCAATGCTTTTTCTTGGTTTAGGTACTGGATACATGGGTATGTACACTTTGTGAAATTCAATGATCTGTATGCTTATGATCCATGCACTTTTCTGTATTCCATTATACTTTAAAAATTAACACATTAAAATATTTCTATAAACTCTATGCCTTTGAGTTCTCTTCTTGTTTTCTGATTTGCCATCATTAACCTTACACCAATGAGATATCTTAATTCTGGTTACCTTATACAAAGGCAGCTTTTCAGCTTTAATTCATTTTCTTGGTATACTATTGCACAGGATACCCAAATGATTGTGTAAACGTCATTTTAGGTTAGTTCCACACTAGATCCCAAGGAGAAACCTTGAAAAGCTAGTAACTTGTCATTACCTGGGGAAAGTTACCTGGGGAAGAAAAAAAAACTCCTTGAAATGTAGTTTTGTTTGGCCCTTTGGTTTGGCCACCTTTGTCTACTTCCAGTACGATACAATCTGCGTAAAATGTTCAAAGCAGCTTTTCAAAATCCTCTTCTTGTGTAAAGTTTTTCCTTTTCTGTCACCCTAATAATGCTATCTTGTTTTTATCCAGTTCCTTCCAGCCACAGAACTTAAAAATACTTCCGTTGGATAGTGTTACTCTCCAGTTAGAGAAATTTGGATCCAGAGACATTGTAAACCAAAAAAATCTAACAGTATCTTTTTACAACACTGCTCAGCGTGCCTAAATAAGCACCGCATTCTTTGCCGAAACTCGCAAGGGTGAGAACTGAAACACAAAATGACTGACTCGCAAGGGCACAGAGTCAATCACAGGTTAAACCAGGACCTGAGTGCTCTAACCCATCGCTCCTCAAGGGAAAACAGCCAAAAACCTACACTCTTGGCTAAATGCTCAGGTGAACTCTTGTAATAGTAAACAGGGGAAGATTCGAAATCATGCCCAGAAAGAGGAGCTGAGGATCCCATGACCTGACCTTCGAGTGAGCCCCATCACTCCTTGGCACGCGGGGCCAACATTCGCTGGGTGCAGATTCTGCGCGGCCTCTTCTTCTCCACGGAGGCTGCGCGTGGAAATTCAAGGGCTAGTCTATACCCACCTCTCTTTCCTCCCGCCTCCAGAACCTGCCAGCCTACCGGCTTACCTGAGATGAGCCCGGCACCAACCCAGCAGCCGATTCTGAGCGCTGCCCAGTTTCTCAGGCCGCACGCGCAGCCACGTGTCAGCCAATCGCCGTGCATTCGGAGCCTCCCGGGCCCCGGGCTGCCCCACACGAGGAGAGGCGCGCGCCCGAAAATGACCGCGTAGAGCGCGACGGAGAAGGGAGCCAGGAGCTCGGCGCGCGGGAGGGCCCAGGGGAAACCCAGGGAAACCCGCGCCGGGCAGGGGCGGGCGGCGAGCACTGGGCATGCGCCTGCCGCGCCGCTAGGGCCGCGGGGCGGGGCCTTTGCGCGACCGAGCCCGCTTGGAAAGTCCCCGCGGCAGTTTGAAAAAGGAAGAGGGAGGTTATCTATGCATTCCCGCGGCTGCTCCGGCAAGGCGCTGCGGTTGTCGCAGGCCAGGCGACCGGGCGCTTTCTGAGAGAGTAAAATATTGTCGGGACAAACCTAAACTGGTTAGAGGAGGGAAATCGCGTGGTTAAAAATGTGTTTAGTGTCATCAGTTTTAGCTTACCGATATTCCAAGCTGGTTTCCTGGTTTGTGTGTGGTTTGGGGTGAGAGGGCTTGTGGGATGGGACTTGGGGGAGAAGAGAGAGAGAGAGACGAGCTGCCAAGTGATGGTTGAATGAAAGGGGCCAAAGTTGGATTCCAGTTAGGTGAGCAAAATCAATACGTAGCTCCTGGCCGAGGAATGTTCAGACTAAAACTTGGAGATGGTTAACATTTTTGACTTAAGTACTTGAAAAAATCTGGGTGCTTATGTTCCGTATATGGTTTCTTTAAGACAAAATGTTGAACCTTCCAAAATTAAAAAATTAAGCCCTCAATTCGGTACCTCTGTGTTTGAAACAAGAAAGGCATAATCAATTAGCGGCTAGTAATTCAAGCGTGGTTTTTATGTTCCACAGATCGCTATTGCTTTTATAAATGTCACTGTTAACTCCTTCAAACACTGAATACTTAATTGTATTCATTCAGACATCAAATATTTTTTACACATCCCCAGAAAATGACAGTTATAAAATTTGTGGTTAAAATTAATGAAAAGAACTTACGCTTCAGTAAGTGTAAAAAAGGGGATTGAAAAAAGATGTGAAAAATCTGGATGTTAGAACAAAATAAGTAATAACTTTGGTCATTTTATTGTCATGGACGGACAATGTTCTGAAGAGGTTTGTTAGGTTCAGCTTTGAAAATGCATTTTTTATTCAGAGTCTGAATCAGATATTTATGAACTCAAAGTACCATGAAAATATTTGAGACAAAAGGTGGAGTGGTATAGTTTGTTCAAGTAGATGTGACAGGCACTCCAATCAGGAAGTGAAGAAGTTTAGGGCCAACTCAAATAATGTGTAAAATAAAGGAGGGAAAGTTGCATTTTCTGGCTAAGGAATAACAAGAAATAAGGGGGGGATAGTGACCACAACATTGAGAAAATTCAAACTAAATAATGAATTCATATATTTAGAAAAAATACTATTTTTCTTTGGATAAAGGTACATTAACCCTAGTTTTTTAGAGCTCATTATCTGGATGCTGAAAGTCTCCAGGGTAAAAAGAAAACTCATGTTTTCATTCTTTTCAGTAACCTGTTTTTCCTTCTGCCTTTTTAATTTAATGAATTAAAACATCAGGCTTTTTCTCCTTAATCCTTCCTCCAAATACTTTGTGGCAACTTTTTAATGCTCTTTTCCTGAACTTTTCAGGCCACAATAGCTAATTTTTTCCCAAACCCCTTCTACCACCACTGTCACTCACATATGTATTTCTTCATTCTGCATCCTGTTAACAGTTATCAGTTTATAAGAAATGAAATAGACTGATTGGAGCTTTCTTTCCTCTTCTCAAGCTAATTATCAAAGGTATTGTTTGTGACCTCATCCCTTCTGTAAATTGGGCTTTTGCAGAACTATGGATAAAGTTACAAGGAAACAAAATGAACCCTTCTTTCATTACAGGGTAAAAAAGAATGTCAGGTCATGAATACTCTCTAGTCCACAAATATTAGCTTCCCACAATGTGCCAGACACTCCAATCAGTTCCAGAAATAAAATAATGAATAAAAATTATGTATACAAGTAGCTGAAAATGCCCTGTGTATTAGTTGAGGTTGTCTAAGAAAACAAACAAGAGTTTATATGTGTGTGTATATGAGAGAGAGAGAGAGATTTTTATTATAAGGGATATCTTTTCATTTATAATTCTGTGATGACATGATGTTGAGCATCTTTTCATTTTCCTATTTACCATTTATCTTCACTGATAAGTTGTCTGCTTGGATCTTTTGCCCTTTTTTTATTGTTTGGCCTATAATTGGGTTATTTGTGTTATTATTGAATTGTAAGATTTTGCATATTTGGGGTACATATCCTTTATCAGATTATGTTTTGCAAATATTACCTCCCAGTCTGTGATAGTCTTTTCATTTTCTTAGTAGTGTCTTTAAGAAAGCTGAAATTTTTAATTTTAATGAAGTCCAACTTCCAGATTTTTTCTTTCATTGGTTGTGCTTTTATATATCTAAAAAGTCATCACCAAACCCAAGGTCATGTATGCTATATTCTAGGAGATTAATCACTTTGCATTTTATATTTAGGTCTATGATCCATTTTGAGTTAATATTTGTAAAAGGAGTACAGTCTGCCTAGATGTATTTTTTGCATGTGGATGTCTAATTGTTCCATCACCATCTGATGAAAACACTATCCTTTCTCCATTGAATTGCCTTTGCTTCTTGACCAAAGATCACTTTGAGTATATTTGTGTGGTCTATTTCTGGGCTTTCTTTTCTGTTGCACTGACCTGTTTATCTGTTCTTTCACTGTCTTGATTATTATAGCTTTATGCTAAATCTTGAAGTTGGGTAATGTTTTATCCTTTGACTTTGTTTATTGTCTTGATTATTATAGCTCTATCCTAAATTTGGAGTTAGGTAGTGTTTATCTGCTGACTTTATTTTTCTCCTTCAATATGGTCTTAGCTACTTTGGGTCCTTTGCCTTCCCATATAAAATGTAGAATCAATTTATGAATATCCACACACACACACAAAAAAATAAAACTTACTTGGATTTTAATTAGGGTTGCATTGAATCTATAGATCAAATTGGGAAAAGTTGATATATTGACAAAATTATTGGGTCTTCTTTTCCATATGCATGTAATATCTCTCCATTTATTTACATCTTTGATATTTTCATTAGAGTTTTACAGTTTTCCTCATATAGATCTTGTCCATATTTTATTATATTTATACCTAAGTTATTTTTGTTTTTTTTGGTCTCATGTAAATGGTATTATGTTTTTAATTTCATTGCTGGTTATTCATTGCTGGTATTAGGAAAGCAGTTGACACTTGACACATCAACCTTATGTCCTACAACTTTGCTATAATTATTAATTACAGTTTATATTATATCTATATAATTATAATTCATTTCAGGAGGTTTTCTTTTTTTATACATAGATAATCATATCATCTGCAAACAATTTCATTTCTTCTCAATTTGTGTACATTAATGATTTATAGTTTTCACCTATGTAATCTTTTTTAAAAATTGGACTCAGCCCTTTCCTGACTTCCGTGTCCATTTCTCTGTCCTCCACAATTCCCTTTCTTATGCATCTAATAACAGAACTTCAAAGTGCAGAAAACAAAATATGTTAGAACTACAGAAAGAAATCCATAGTTAATATAAAATTATAGTTAGAGATTTCAAACTCATCTCTCAGTAACTGATACAATTATTAAGGATATATAGAACTTGAACAATATTATCAATCAACTTATCTAATTGACATTCATAGAACACTTTACCTATCAACAGCAGAATACACATTCTTTTCAGGTCTTCATGGAATATTTACCAAGACAAACCATAATCTAGACCATAAAACAAATACAAATTCACTTAAAAGGATTCAAATCAGGAATGATATCAGCAAGATGGCAGAATAGTCAGTCCCAGACCCTCTTCCCATGGAAACACAAATTCAACAAAAATTCATTAGACCTTTGGAGGAAACCCAGAAGCCAGTTAAGTGGTTTCCCGCACCCAAGGCAAGTGTAACCACCTGCATTAAAGCCCAGTAGGAAAATTCATGGCGTTTCCTTACAAGCAAGATATGATTGAGAAGCAACCCTCAATTCCCAGTCTCATCCTAAGGAAATAAAAGAGTGGAATGTTCTGACTTTTCAGGGGATTGTCTGAGACACTGGTTTCTATCTTGCGTGAATAAGCACTGACAGGAATAGGTGGCCAGTTTGGGGACTGCCAAGAACAAAGGCAAAGTGCACAGTACCACGAAAGAAGCTAAATAGAAGTCCAGTACCATCACTTACTATGGCACCACAGAGGCCTCAGTAATATAGACATGCCAGGGGAAAAGCCTACTAGAAACGGGTGAACCTCTTCAATTATTAGACTACGTGCACAAGCCAAAAGAAGTCACATCCTTACAGAAGGTTTAAGAGGTCTCCAGAATCTCTAGCTAGACTGATTGAAGAAAGTCCTCCCTGTACCTAACTGGACCACAAAAACTAGGAGAGAGGGCTGATTATTTAAATACTGAAGTCTTAGCAGAAGATGGTAAGACATAAAAAGAAATAGTGAACCATGGCACATTGAAAGGAACAAATTAAATCTGATACATACCTATCCTAAAGAAATGAAGATATGTGAATTACCAAAGAATTCACATCATAGGAATGCTTAATGAATTAAAAGAGAGCACAGATAGACAACTAAGTAAATCAGGAAAACAGTGCATTTAACAAATGGGAATATTAACAAGAAGATAGAAACTATGAAGAAGACCCACACAGAAATTCTGAAACTGAATCAAAAAGTTCACTGGAGGAACTCAGTATCAGACTTGAATAGATAGAAAAAAGGATCAGCAATCTTGAAGCCAAAGGATGAATAAAGAGACACTAATGGATTTATGGGACACCATCACATGGAACAACATACCCATTATGGGAGTCCCAGAAAAAGAAAAAGGGGCTGAGAGCATATTTGAAGGAATAATGACCATAAATTCACCAAATCTGAGGAAAGAAATGGACATACAAATTCAGGAGGCTCAAAAAAATCCCAAATACAGTAAATGTGGAGACCTATACTAAGATATATCATAATAGAACTATTAAAAGTCCAAAGAGCAAATCTTGAAAACAGCGAGAGAAAAGAACTTGCCACATACAAAAGGCACTTCTATTAG